TGTCTGTGGAAAGTGTGAGGTGAGCTGCAACGGCCCGGGGCTCAGAGCCTGGGGAGCGCCGGTCCAGGAGAGAAGCCCCAGCCCTCCGGGGGCGGAAGTAGCCTCCTGGGCCCAGGAACGGCCCACAAGGGCTGGCCAGGGTCCCCCGCGGGGCCAGGCAGAGGTTAGCTGGAGGTGCTGACCGTATGCAGGTACGTGCAGACCGGGTGAGACGGGCTAGGCGCAGGCCGGCGGGCATAGCGGCTCAGCAGAGGCTTAGGCTTTCTGGATGGGATTTCTCTCATTGAAAGGTGGTTCCTGGGTCTGTGCACACAGGAAACGGGAGATAGCCATCGGCACCTGCAGGAAGGAGGCCCCGATTAACAGGGACTGAGTGGCTGTAACCAGGTCGCTGCTGAGAGCAAACCTCCTGGGAAGTGTGGGTTTCACACCCAGCCCCCACAAGGCTGAGAAAGTAGCTATTGATGGAAAGTGGGGCAGGGATAGGCCTGACATGGGTGCCCTTCCTGTCCCGGGGCCTCAGTTTGGAGGGGCTGTAGGAACAGCTCCAGTGTCCCACACTGGGTGCCCACTGCCCATTGTGCATCCTGACTTTTGTTTATAAAATATGGCAAAGGCCACAGTGGTGAGTATGAAGGCCACCCTGACATTCTGGGTTGGGGGCACCCCTGCGTCCCCTCCTCTGTGGGGTCCCACCCTGGCTGCCGCGTCTGGGGCATCGCTGGGAGCTGGTCCTGGGGCTGCAGGATGAGAGGAGGTCCTAGACGAGATGAGGGATCTTGAGGACCACAGCCCTCACCCACCCACCCGAGCTTTGCCTCCCAGGTGATGTCCGAGCCCTTGTCTTCTGCAACGGCATCAGTGACCCATCAGTCTTCCAAATGAGATGGCGTGACTGGGTCCCAGAGAAGCCCCCGGTCTGGCCAGGGGTGGGCAGAGAGGACGGTGCTATCTAACCACAGCTGCTCAGTCTTCTACCCCAACTGAGGCCCCATCCCAGGACTCTGCAGTCTCGTCCTCCGACACATGACCCCCCGTCCCCAGGGTGCAGGGGCCCAGATGGAGAGGGGTCACCCACAGGATTGTGCCGTGGGCCCCTTGGGTCATTGGGAGTAATCACAGGGAGGCTGTGTCTGGCATGGCTGTGCTGAAGCCTTCGATGTTCCTGCAGTCTCCGTCCCTGCTGGAACAGGAGGGGGCCAGCCACCAGCTCACAGCTGTGCAGCGAGGATGGGGCGAGGGTCTCGGAGTCCCGTCTGTGCACGGCCTGCTCGGGGATCTTGCTATCTCGCAGGGTCTCATCTTGGGGTGCACCCCGAGGAAGCAGGGTAGTACCTTGCACACCTTCCAGGCTGGTAGAAGGACCCTGATATCCAGGCCCACCCACCCTGCCAGCAGTCGCCCCAACCGTTCTGTGGCTCTGCCTCCCACCATCTTTTGGGATGTTGTACTTGAGGGAAAATGTGAGTGAGCGTTGATGGTCGGTCTTCGCCAGGCCTCCTGTGGCCCAGCCCCTCCAGTCTGCTGGGCCCAGGACGGGGCCCCGGCTGTTCCCTTGTCGGCATCAGCTACTCTTCTCCTTCCTTGAAACTAGAAGTCACCCTTGCTCGGACGTGTCACATGTCACCTGTCCCCTGGGAGGAAGGAGCAGGCCGTTTCCAGCTGATGCGTGTTTTAGAAACAAGCATTCCGTTGTCTTTGTCCCTGAGGCCGGCCCCCCACAGGATGGGCACAGAAGGGCCTGTGGACCCCTAGCCTCTGTCTTCTCACCTCCAGCGTGTGTGAGGCCGGGCGGGCTGCAGCTAGGGCCTGCGCGGAGGCCGGGTCAGCTCCTGTGGGTGCCAGGAGGGACACCAGTCTTCAGCCGGCCGAAGGGCGACGCGCTGACTCAGCTCAGCGGCGCGGGGACTAGTGCTCCGCTCGGGACCGCGTCTCCCGTCCGCTGAGGTTCGTCTGTAGGGAACCGCGTTCCCAGCCACGGAAAGAGTCAGGGCCCAGCAGACAGGCGAGGGTTCCGGTTCCGACGTCAGCCCAAGCCGTGCGTGAGTGCCTTCGCTTGAAACGAGAGCCCTGAATCACGTGAGGAGAAGAACTCAGGCCTTAACCGTTGACGAGGTGATGGCGTCTGCCTTTGTCTGCTCTCTTCCCTTCCGCTCCGCGCGTCCTGATGTGCGCGTCACACCTTCCGCAGAGCAGGCCCGGCAGAGCGGGCCGGGGTGCCCACACGGACGTTCTCGCTCACCCTGCGGCCACTCCCTTCTCCTCCTGGGCAGCCAGAGGCCAAGGAACTGTTTCGAGTAATTTAAAGTACTTCTCTTGGCTCACCACCAACCTGCCCCCGCACTCACCTTCGGACACCTTCACACACGGGCATTCAACATCCTTTTTCCCTCACATCCATACTGTTCTTCACACGACCCTTTCCCTCACACACACTTTCTCACACACACTTTGTGTCACACACATACTTTCCCTGGCTCATGCTCTCCCTGACACGCACTTTTCCTCACATACACTTTCTCACGTATGCACACTTTCCCTCACACACACGCTTGCTCTCTCACACACACTTTCCCTCCCACTTTCTCACGCACTCTTTCCCTCACATGCATACTTTCCCTCACACGTACACCCTGCTCTGCACACACCTTTTCCTTCACACGCACAAGCTGTAACAGGTACACATTCATCCCAGGAAGCGTCAGGGAAGAAAATGTTGCACAGAGTAAACGTTCAAGATGATCGAACTTTACCCTTTAAGATACCAAGATAATGTTCTCTTTTCAAGCATTTCTTATGCAAATCTTTCGGAAAAACACTGTATTCTTATCTCTTAAGCTGAATTGAATATATTCAGGTAACTTGATTTTGTTGCACTGGGGTAATTCTGCCTCTCCGCTCTCAGAACCACATACGTCCGCCTCCCCCTCCTGTAATTTGTGTCTCTTCAAAAGCCCAAACTGCTCGAGTTGTGCCAGTGGCCGCGGTTGGCCTGTACCATGCATCTGCCGCAGCGCCGAGCCTGAGGCGGCCCTTCAAGCCGTGCCCGGCCCTGGGCACCGTCTGCTTGTCCGCCGGACCCTCTTCCCCAGAGCGAGCGCGGCACCACGTGCGGAGTGGCTGGGGAGCTCGCGCGGCAGCGGCCCCAAGTGACGGTTCTGCTCTGCGGTGCCCGGTCGCAAAGTGCCCGGAGAAGCAGGCGACCGGCACGAGGGGCTGTGCAGACGGTGCCTAAGGGAATGTCACTGTGGAAGAGGCTAGAGAGCGCGTCCCTCAGGCTTGCCCAAGGCTTCCTCACTTCCCTGACCTGGGAGGCGGCCCCTGGGCGCGCAGACAGCGCCCCTTGGACGTCTCGTGCCCGGCCCGGGATCTGGGGACGGAGCCCAGGGAGTAGAAGCTGGTGCGGGGGCGCCCGGCCAAGCGTCGGAGCCTCCGTCAGTCACAGCAGGAAGCAGAGGGCAGAGAAGGGGCCAGGGAAGATCCCAGTGACCTCACCGGGCAGTTCTCAGAAGGCGAACGGGGGAGGTGGAGGCCCGGAGACCTGCCGGTAGGTCGCTGGCCAAGCTGGGCGCGAGAATCAGGACCCTCATGTGGGTCCTGAGGAGGGGCCCGTCCGGACTGGGGTGTCTGCGCAGCAGGAGGGCATCTCTCCCTGGGGGGACCCACAGTTTGCTTTTCACTTCCTCTGAAGCGGGCATTAAAGACATGCCCTTCAGGTCTGCCGGTCCCTTGTGTCACGACTAAGTGTTTGCTCCAGACCCTCCCCTGGCTCAAGACCACCGCGCTTCTCCGGGGCGGGACGTCCGCTGCTGGCTCGGGTGGCATTTGAGTTTTACACATCAGAGCACCGTGGCATTTTCTAGACAAAATCGGCATTTAGATCATTCCTGACGAGTGAGCGGCTCTGTCTGGTGGGGAGACCCAGGCGTATGGGGGGGAGGAGCAGACAGACGTGTGGACGCCCTCGTGGGCGTGGGAGCTCCAGAGCGGGGTCTGACCAACGCCTCACCGCACTGACAGCGCCGCGGGAGCGCCCACGGGGAGGCGCGCCCCTCCCCGCAGGACGGATGGCCCGAGGCCTTACCCACCTCAGGCCCAGGGGACTCGCTGTCTTGTTTTCAGTCTCTTTAGAAAATTATCTGTACCCTGAGCTGTTCGGAGGAGTCTCAGATGTAACCGTTGTCCCTTTAAAAATCGATTTCACAATTTTAACCTCTTTGACTTTTAACTGTTATTGTAGCCTTGCGGGTTTTTTTTCCCTAAACAAATGAACCCTGTGGTATTTCCTCAGGAAATGTTACATCTAAAAATAGCATTAAACATCTTTTATACTAAAAGCATTCTGTCTTTACATAAAATTTTGTTGCATGAAAACATGAAGAGCAAATCAGGTACCAAGGATACTGTTTTCAGAATGACCAAATGGGTACAATTCTGTGGTTTTGATAAAGGATGCCCTAATTGTTTTTGTCTAAATTTTTAAAAAATTATCAATACAGTCAAAATGTCTTTGCTGTGGATGACGTTTTCTTACTAAGTTACGTGTGGACCAGCTCTGTCCTTGGCATGGGGGCCTCCCCCATCCCTGCAGACCCAGGAGTGCCCCCCTGAGAAATCCCACATGCTCCACGGATAACCCTAAAATACAGCATTTCAGGTGCACATTTCAGAATCTGATGGGGTGGAACTTAATTGTGCCCCCTGTGACAGCAGCAGCGCCCCCGCGGACAGAGTGTTGTGTAGGGCTCCCCTCGTGGGCCTGGGGGCAGACCCACAGTACGCTGCTGCTGTGCGACGACGGAAGGACCAGGAGCTCCAAGAGGATCCCCCACTATGCTGTGGGTTTGCTGGTACCTTCCAATCCCACAAAGACTGCTCAAATATCCAGAGAGAAGACAGAGCCCGAAAAGTGGAGGCTTCCATAGCCAGCCTGGGGGAAGTGTCCTCCACACCCGTCTTCATCAATGTCTTAAAGTACCTGGTCCTCTCTTGCATTTCAGGATCTGGAATCCCTTGACACCTATATCCAGAACACACTGTCTGCCCTCTACCCACCTTTTGAGGCCACGGCAGCCACGGTTCTCTGGCAGCTGTTCAGCGTGGCAGAGAGACTCCACGGTGGGGATGGGCTGCGCTGCCTCACTGACTTCCTCATCCCAGCCAAGAGGGCCCTACAGCACCTGCAGCAGGAAGCCTGTGTGAGTACCAGCCCTGCAGGGGCCAGAACCTGTATGGGACCCTCCTCTCAGGGGACAGAGCCTGTGTGATGGTTTTCCCTACAGAAGGAGACCTGTGAGACCGTCCCCCGCAGGTGACACCCTCCTGCCCTTGACTGTAGGGAAGAGACAGGCAACGTGTTGCTTGGTACCCAGAAAATATTTAAGCTGAGCACAGGGAAGGACACCAGTGGCGGTGGCAGAGGAGAACAGGAAATTAAACTGGTAATCAAAGCAGAGATAATTCGAGTGAGGATTTGTTGTTTTCTTTCTGAAAGGAAGTTGTGAAGTTAACCTCAGCCACTTTTCTTAGAGTTTATTCCACAAATGGAGAGATCTTCCCAGTCCACTCTAGTTTTGAGGTCCGTAAGGGTACTGGCTCAACTCTTTTCCTCTGGCGTCGGGCTCCTTTTTTCTTAGTCTCAAATGATGAGTGAAGTAAGGCTCCGTGTTCCACAAACAGGACTTCGGGCCCTCCGGTGGTACAGCCCACTCTGTCCACAGGTGTCCGTTCTGGTTCCTCTGGTGAACTTTCACCGGAGTCTTTACACCCAGCCTAACACATTTCTTAGGTGCTTAGTTTGTTTCTGGGTTTTTTTTTCTCCTGAGTGGTACCCCATTGTACAGAGTGTGCCACAATTTATTTACTCATTCATGGATTGATAGACATTTAGGTGGCTTCTAGTTTTAGAATTTATGTATAAAATTGCCATAAGCCTTTGCGTACAGGAATCTGTGTGAGCTTGTTTTCTGGGGTAAATAGTGAAAGTGTGATTGTTGGGCCACTTCAAAACTCTTTTCCAAGTGGCCGCACCATCGTGCACTCCCATCAGTGGCTGTGGAGAGCTTCGGGTGCGTGGTACCCTCACCCAAACCTGCTGTTGTCAGCCTCTTCAGTTCTACCCGCCCCGTCACATGTGCCGTGGTGTCACATGTAACGTCGTGGTATGGTTTGTAAGTCTGTAATAGCTGCAGATGTGAAGTATCTCTTCCTGGACTTCTTTGCCTTTCGTATACCCTCCTTGCGATGCATCAATTCTAATCTTTTACCCATCTTAACCACTGGATTGTCATTTTATTCTTTTTCTTCATTAAAATAACTTGATTTATTTTTTTCATATCCAATCAGATAATTCCAAATATGTAAGGTTACAAAAGCAGATTTTTGTCTGTAAGGGCCAGGACTGGGGTAAGGCAAATAAGGTACGTGGCATGAAATTTAAGGAGGGTACTCACTGACAGATTTCTGCAATATCTTCTTGTTGAGTTCTCAGAGTTCTTTACATATTTTGGATACAAGTTCTTTATCATATATATAGTTTGCAAATATTTTCTCCCAATCTGTGGCTTACCTTTTAATTTCCTTAGTATTGTTTTAGGAAGAGTCAAAGTGTTTAATTTTGATGAAGTTCTCTATTTTTTTATTTTGCTTTCTGTGTCCTGTCTAAGGACTTTACTTTTAGGCCTAAGATCCATTTTGAGTTACTTTTTGTATATGGCGTGAGGTAAGCATCAAATTTGTTTTTGCCAATGTCTGTCCTCCTGCTTCAGCACCACTGGTTGAAAGGGCCATCTTTTCTCCATTGACACCCAGGTAACTTTGCTGACCACGAACTGCCAGTTCAAGTGTGAATCTGTTCCATTGATCTTTCCTCTCTTTCCTCCAGTACCATGGTTTTGATTATTGACCCTTTATAGCGAGTCCGAAAATCAGCCACTGTAAGGCCTCCAAGGCCAAAAACTTTGTTCTTCCTTTTCAAAATTGTTTAGTTATTCTAATTTCTTTGCATGTCTATATAAAATGGAGAATCAGTTGGTTTATGCAAAACATCTTAGGAGTTTTGACTAAGATTGCTTTAAAGCCATAGATCCGTTTGGAGGAAAAAGGTCTTGGGATATCTTTTTTGTTGGTTGTTTTCGAGGCGGTCTTAAAACTACTGCCAGCCAAGTGGTAGGTATAGTGCAGTGAGCTGCTGGGAAGAGAGATCTTGAGCTGTGCGCTGGGGTGTGCGGGTCAGCGGCTGCCGCAGCATGCTGGGCTCCCCACACGAGCAGGGGTCCAGTACCTGCGGCACCCTTCAGACAAGCATTGCTTCATGGCACCTGTGAGACCTTCTGGTGTTGGAGTAAATGAACTGAGAAGATAATTCATGGAACTTAATCCTAACCATTTCCAAAGTCCTGCGCCACATACTACGTGTTCTAAAAAGAGTCATCAAGTGCAGCGGACATAAGGATTACTGTGTATCAAAGGAAGCACCAGAAGCCCTCGTGTCTGGTCACAGGATGCTCCCGTGTGGTGAGTACGGAGGCCACCCGTGGGTCAGCCTTGTGGGTGCTGCTCAAACAGTCCTCCAGGAATGAACGATATGTGTCAGGGACATAGAGCCACAGGGTGTTCAGGTAACTCGAACCCACAAACTGAGCCCTGCATCCTAGTTATAAAGCCGTCGAACATGAGTTGTAGGAAGCCATCTTGGGAAAAATGCCAAGACCATCACAGGCTACTTCGTGGACCTGAAGTTCAAGGGTGAAGATCTCCAAAACGTGGAGGATTAGCTCAACAAACAAAGACACGGTTTGGCTAGTGTTTTGATCATGTGATTGTGAATGACATTTGCAAGACGCCTGTGCCCAGCTGTCCACAGCTGAGAAGACCCAGGAGCTCTCTCAGTGGGTCCAGCAACGTGGGCTTCCCTCAATACCAAGTCTTCGGGAGGCCTCCTGCTCCGTGTCGCAGCTCTGACAATATTCACCGATTACAGAGTTCTGGAAAACAGCGGCAATGTGAAGCAGCCCTGTGTGCCCCGTTGTAATATGGGGCATTACATATGCCCCATATGTAATGGGGCATATGTAACACAGTTTATTAATTATCTCATTTGAAATGTATACAGAGTTACCTTCTACGCTTTCAGGGAGAAAGGATTCCTTTACCTCCTATACCGCATTGGTAAGAGTGCAGACAGTGTTAAGCCACCGAGTATGAGGACCTTCCATAGAGTTAGTAGGTCTTTGTACAGCTCAGATGAAAGAGCTTCCCTAAATTAAATAAGTAGTATTTAATTTCAAAAAAAGTGTAAGATCTTTATTAATCAGTACCTTTTATTACTCCATTGATACTGAAGTAGGGCTTTGAAAAAAACTATCACTGGACTACTTTGATTTATTAAATTCTTTGGAATTTTTTAAAGGTTTTATTTATGTTATTTAACAGAGAGAGAGAGAGCATGCAAGCAGGGGGAGCTGCAGAGGGAGAAGCAGACTCCCCGCTGAGCAGGGAGCCTGATGCGGGACTCAATCCCAGGACCCTGAGACCATGACCTGACCTGGAGGCAGTTGCTTAACCAACTGAAACACCCAGGCATCTTCTTACAAAGTCTTTAAGCTAGAATGACCATGGTCGAGAAATGACCAAGGATGTCCTAGATTTGTTTCTTTGTATGAAGTAGTCTGTACAGAGGATATTTTCCTTTGAGATTATGTACCTTTTGCATATTTAAAGGGTATTGATTGATAAGAAACAGAGATAACCCACAGCACAGGGAACAAAAATGCCTGTCCCCTTTCAAAGCTGTGTTTTGAAACCTATTTTGACCTAATGTTTTGCCTTCTTCCTTCTGTTAAGTTTCATTTTCCTTTCATTTTAATCATAAGTCATCCCCCTTCCCACTTACAAAATTGCTTATTTCTGAAAAACCCGTATGAATAGTACTACTATTTAATATCAGTGCATACTTCCAAGTACAAATAGCACAAAATGAAACTTAGTGTTATCTTTACCGTTTGTATAGTTATATTGCTTTTTTCTCTTTAATAAAGAAATTAAAATTTGATCCTGTGTATGACATAGGAGAAAATGAACTTATCTCAACAACTATGAATGTAAACATATTTTAGTTAATATAAATCAAGGCAGTTTTTATCTATTTACCTGCTATTGTCAGAGTATGTGGCTTGGAGAGCATGACTAATCATATTAATTTTAATATAAGTTGTCATGTTAACCTAATATTCCAACAACTACCATTCTTCCTTCCCTTTATAGTTCTAGAGTCACTCGTTACTTTATAGTAACTTTATAGTTACTATATAGTTACTTTATAGATACAGAGTCACTTTAGTGTCACTCATTAGCTTATTTGTAACTTTCTTTCATCACAGTTTGGCTCAAAAAATGTCTGGGGAAGTTAAAAGTAGTCAGAAAGTTATAAAAACAGAATGTTTGCATGACGCAGGGAAGCAGGGGCAGGGGACCACAATAAGGAAAATAAAATTAAATCTTAGAGTATACATCCTTCCAAGTACACATGGAATGGTTTCCAAAATTTGATAAAATTCTGGTCAAATTTTACAATTAGGGAATGTACATGTACTTCAAGAGTGTATAAAACTAGAGAATATTAGAGAACATGCACTTTTATTCAGTGTGCCTGTGCATTTACTGGAATTGACCAGAATCGACCATTAGTCGTAAGATGGCCACAAATACAGAGGACGGCTATGTAGAGACTGGTGATAAAACTGCAGATCAGTAATAACAACAACTCCCTGACATCTGGAAAATTGTACGTGTACTCCTGAAGAGAGGAAGGGTCAGACGATAACAAAGGAAATTGGCTGTTCAGCGGGTGAGCCCCGTTTCTAGGTAAGTGTAGAAGTGTGTGAGAATTTTCCTCCTGCTAAAACCAACCAGAAAAATCCTACATAAAAGAAAAGTTATCCTTTCCTTTAAAGCCATCTGACAGCTGTTGATACACAAAGACCTAACTAAATCGTGGAGAGACAATGTCTTCCTAAGCTCCGCACGAGAACGCCCAGGGCCCGTTGTGGAGACCACAGGGAGAGCAAAGGAAGAGCAGCCGTAACGGGGAAGGACCATCCGTGCTCAGACGGGAAGAGACCGGGTGTAAGACATCTCAGGGCTAGTCTCACATTTAGGTCCTCAGCACATCTGGAGTTTATGTTCGTGTATGGTGAAA